GATCAGTTTATCCCTTTTTCTGGTCTTTTGCTCCACATTTGGGACATTGTGTGGATAATCATGGTCTTTTTAGAACGTTTTTTGTTAGTTTCTTGTGTCGTATTCTTATCAGTTTGTCCCTTTTTATGGCGTTTCTCTACTCATTGTGGTAATAGTGTGTCCAGAATTTGCAGTTTTGCGCCTGTTTCTAATCATTTCGTGTTTTTTTCAGTTTTTTTTCTGCAGTTTTGTGTCTTTTTTTTGTCATTTTCTGATCAGTTTTGTGTCTTTTTTTAGTCATTTTCTGACCAGTTTGTCCCTCTTTTTTCTGGTCACCTGCTCCACATTGGGAGGAGGACCAGACTAGTCCGGAAACATTATTGATTATTCAGAGGTTGGGGAGTAATAAGGCAGTGTTTTTCAACCACTGTGCCTTGATTTTCTGTGCCGTAGAAAATCATCCTATTTCACCTAATTGGTTTAAAAAAAAAATTTGATAAGGAATTAATTATCTGCAAATAATATGCCATTTTTGAGTGTCTGTGCTGTTCTAGTGACTGGTGGAGTAATCATGTAATAATTCCTTATGACAAGATTTTGTATATACTTTTGTATATTGAAGTGGACATGTTAAGTGCAATTTGAAAGAAGAAATATAAAATATGATAAAAATAAATGTTTGTGTTTATTTGATTCCTATTCAAGACACTTAAGATAAGATAAGAATAAAATAAGAATAACTATAGTGTTCCTATAGGCGGCAACAGATTTGTTTAACTTTTTTGGTTGGTGGTGTGCCTCGAGATTTTTTCAATGAAAAAATGTACCTTGGCTCAAAAAAGGTTGAAAAACTGCAATAACGTGATGAGCTCATAGGCCTGCTGCCCTCTACTGGACACAGTTCTAACTCCACCTGTTTTACACGCAGCCATTATTGGGTCTCATGTCCGTTGTTTTCCGCCCCTTTGGGTCCTGCTGATGGCTCCGCCCCTCAGACGTTGCCCCCCGGTCGCTGTGACGTCCCGCAGAGGGAGGAAACGTTCACCGACTGCACCTCCTGCGCCGCCGCCGCCACCGCCAGGTGTCCACGGGGATTCTCCCCGGTCCGCACCGCCAACTGCAGGTAGGCGGAGCGGGGGCGGTCCGAGGGGTTCTGCAGGTGTCCAGAGGTGTCTCTAGATGGTCCTGAGGTGTTTCTAGATGGTCCTGAGGCGTCTCTAGATGGTCTTCAGCCAGCTCTACATGGTCCTTAGGCGTCTCTAGATGGTCCTGAGGCGTCATGAGGCGTCTCCAGATGGTCCTGAGGCGTCTATAGATGGTCCTCAGGCGTCTCTAGATGGTCCTTAGGCGTCTCTAGATGGTCCTGAGGCGTCTCTAGATGGTCCTTAGGCGTC